GCTGTTTTGTTTGATATGTAACTCTTGAAACCACCTCAGAACTGTTCTCGGAACTTCCCTTATCATCTTCTCTCTCTGTTCCTTTTGCACTCTGTCAACCTGTCACCCTCCTCTTGCGGCACTGTCTCTCAGTGGCTCAATGTTTCTGTGCACGTGCTCAGAATGGGGAGCACAAAAGTCAGCGGAGAGATTTTAAAACTACAGTAATTTTTGTGCTCAATGATAATTGCCAGTTATGATGGATCTGTTGAACAGTAATATTATGTGTTGTGATTATCCATCGGAATTTGTCGTTTGTTTCTCACAAAGTGCATTATTATCCATGTTTTTTTTTCTCTTTTTGAATAACGGATAAAAGTAATAATAAGAAAATAAATGGAATTTTTCTTTTCTTTTCTTTTCTTCTTCCTTTTTTTTTTTTTCCTACATTATGCCACCAATTTTTGTTATTACAACTGCAAATCGGTTAACACCGGCAGATACAGAAATCAACAATACAAATTGATTGTATTTCACCAGTTTTGGAAATAATACGGTAATGACTGTTTAAAGTAGAAACTGTTTATCAAAAGTAAAAACAACAGTAAGTAGTTGGCATTGTGGTAATAGTGCTGTTAATAATGATAGTGATTATAGCAATAATAACGATAATAACAGTAATAGTACTGGTGATGGTAACAGTAATAGTAATAGCGATAGCGATAGTAACAGTAATAGTAGTAGTAATAATAATAGTAACAGTAATAGTAATAATAATAACACCAACAATAATGGTGATGGTAAGAGCACTTTTATTGATGCAAATCCGAGTAATTTTTAAACCGTTTTCTTTTTGGACAGAGTGTATTGTTTATTGAAAAGGAGGTTTTTTTTTATTTTGTTTGTAAGGTTATCATCGGTTTTATTCTTCAAATAAAATTCCAAATAGTTGTTGAGGTGTATAAAATTCAGTGAAACAAAACAACGAATTGATTTTTATACGACGATGAGCGGTGTTTTTGTTATTTTTTTTTAAGCTAATAAAAATGTTATAGATGAATCAAAAATTCCTGATACCTATCAGTGTGATTGAATTGCATTTACCTCTGTAAACAAAACAACTAAATAATGTTTTGTGTATTCAAAAATCTGTTACTCCCAAATGCTGTTTCATCCATCGTTTTTCTACCATTTACCTCGTTGCAGGAAAAAAAAATCCATCTATACATACATATAGCTGCTGTTTGTTCTTCGTTGACTTAACAATTTGTTTCCTAATGGGAAAAGGAGAAAAAACAATTTTTACCCCTGATATATGCTATTTTTCATCTCAATTTTTGATCATTTATTCATTACACACAATATGCCCTCCAATTTAAATTGTGGAAAAAAACTGTGTATTGCTCAATGGCACTTACCGTAATCTGCTAAAGTTGAAAAAAAAAAAAGATGCTGAAGAAGAAAAAGTAGCAGTAAATGATTCCTATTAACAAAACAACTGCAACATTTTCTGTTTCAACCACAGTTCTACCGTAAATTCAGTGTAATAAATAATCAAACAGTAGTAGTAGCACATTGTTCTGTCTTTTAAATTTTTTCCTTTTTTTTTTCTGCGAACTATAAAGTTACAGCCCCGTTATGTTAAGAAACACCTTTTTTTGGCCGTCTTTGTTAGTTTTGATATTGTCTCCTTTTGTACAATATAATTCCTCAGTTAATAGGTTTTTGACGACAACTATGATGTCGTAAACGGTGATGATTGGTTACAATAGCAAATAACAGTAAAAAGCTTTTCCAGTTTTGCTATTCATAGTTACGGCTTGTAAACGTAAATGACAAAAAGCTGTGTTGATTTTCTTCGTTTGATTACAATAAATATTGTATATAGTGTACTAAGAGCAGATTGAAAAATTGGCTTCTAAATAAATGACAATAATCGCCGGCTGAAGGTGTACAGCAAAGAAACCAGCTAGCAGCTAACTGGGGCGGTTGGCTGGGTAGCTGACTGTTCTTATGGCTTTGTATGCTAAATAGAAAGAATTTAGCAACAAACATTTACATATTACTTTTTTACTCTATCACTTTCCTTCGTCAATCGTTTTCGTTATTCAGCAGTTTTGGACAGCTTACTGTAACCCCGTGAAGAGCATCTCAATGAAGCTTGTTCAGAGGTCATTCTTGTCAGCGATCTTAGTTTCCATCTCTTGAGTCAACAAAAGCTCTTCACCACACAGTCGCGGGTGTTAATCCCTTAGTTACACCATATTGTTGCCACTTTTCAACCGTTCTTTTGCTTGCAAACACAGTCATTTATGAAGTTCATTGACATAATTCTGTTATAGACATATCAATTGTTTGCCTGTACAATTGTAAAACAGTAGTGCTTTTATACGGTAAAACGAGGACGGTAAACGAGCTAAGAAAAGACGTATCGACTGCAAATTTTGACCGTTTTGCTACAGTCTGGCTATTTTTTTTACTTCTGGAAAAAGTTATAAATTTTAACGCTTTTTACAAAGTATTACAAGTTATCAGCTATTCAATGTTGAAACTGATAATAATGTAATCTTCAACAGTGAACTATTTCATAGAATTATTTAGTGTTTGAAACTTACTTAAATGAAAACAGCAAATAAGAAGCAATTAAAATTTACTTGCGTATAATTAGCTTCGGCGGGTTACTGCAGAAGAAGAAGCTCGAGGATAAGCAGTTTAGATTCTAGATAGCCTTACGTTATTTTTTCTGTCAGAATTATAGATGTATTTATAGTTTTTCAAAATTCCTGTTTTTAGCAATAATTTCTCTAGTAAATGCAAGAGATCGGCTAAATCTGTTTGGTCGTACAGATACTGTTCATACTCGAAGCACTTGAATTTTTTTTTTTCTATAACTTTTTTTTAGCAATTATTTACTTAATAAACCGCCATTTTTTTAATTTTATTCTTATGGCTATTTTAATTTTTTTTCAGTCGGTATAAATGAGAAATTCCAAGTGTAACAACTAGTAAAAGTGGCCGGAGAAAGAAGAAGCAACGATGTCGACCCATTTACAGTGAACGTTTTGAAAGGTCTCATAGTAATATAAATTTGATACATATTTCGTTATGAACAGATTCTCAGCGGCAGGGACCGTATATAATACACGTATCACTATAAACCAAATACTCTTCCCTATTTTTTTTTCATTGCTTTACACCAGAAATAACCATGATGCTTCTTAACCTAAGCGTTCAACCCTAACCATTTTTGACATTCTTAAGGCAAAGTTGAGGAATTGTTTTTGCTCTAAACTGGACACTTATCCTCCTAACGTTCTAGTTCACCTCTCAAATATTCTAATTGCGTTTGAATTGTTTTGTAAGCCAAGCAAACTTGTTGAGGATCTGTGTTGTTTTATCAAAAGCCTAAAAAAATAGCAGCTCAAATTTTGTTAGTTTTCTAAAGTAAGCGTAATATTTACATATTATAAGGTCAATTGTTAGACGAATTGGTTCGCAGATTACAGCCAAATAATATTCATAGAGCGACAGATCAAAAAACCGTGTGAGTTGGTATTTACACAGTAACGGGAGAATCGAAGTGTCAAAAGTATTGTTTCCCGAGCGGTGCCTATATCTTAAAGGTATTAGCATTGTTCGGTAGACTTGTTGGTCTCTGCAAAAACATACAGATCTTCTTCACTGTTCTGTTCTCGCATCCTGTCTGTTGTTCCTAATTTTGACAATGTTCAACAATTGACGCTCAAATGCTCAACAAGATTAAAATCACCTCTACCTGCTAGTTCACGGAATTCTTCAAAGAAAGTTTTATTTACTTTCTTCAGCGGTAACAACATAAATTGTTGAAGAAACAAAAGAACTTAAAATATAAAAACAATTCCGACAATTGGTCTTTTTAATAAGACTGTCAGGATCGTCTACAAATGCTCTGATCTGCAAGGTTTGGTATTACTTTGCATATAACAGCAAAGAAACACACTTTTAACCTCTGCAGTTTTCATCTTCACTTATTATTATTGTTGAACACCTGTTTGTTTAGTCTCAAAACACAGACTCTTTATGCCAAACCTCAGTCTTACCAAAAATCGCTTGTTTCAGACAAAAGAGTGCCAACAAATTTTTAGCTAAGTATCTTAAAAGTTCCAGATTCAATAAGGCAATAATTTTTTAAAGATGAATACAGCGTTTTACTTATTGTCAAGTTTTTCTGAATTACCTGTCTTTAGGAACTTTTTGTACATTTGCTTTGATAACACTTTGAGGCAAGACAGCAAAAACCGGCTATTTTTTATGTTTTTCATTGGACAGATAGTTATGGAAAAGATTCTTTGTAGGCGTTCAGCATTCGTATCAGACGATAGTTTTGCCTCAGCAATGGCGATAGAAGCCGTCTCAAGAGAGTTTTTCAAAGTGTTCTTTTATGGTTTTTTTGCCGTTTGCGCCCGCATCAAATGACTATAGCACTGAAACCTTCAGACTCTTTTTGCGGAGCATAAAAGCAATGAGCGAAGAGGCGAAAAAACCACCGAAAAACATGATAATAAATTTTGTTTTGCTGTACTTTTCATGTTATTGCAAACATTGGTGGCGCATTCTAAGAGAACTCAGTTATTTCTTCATCGCTCTTTATCGCTTAAAGTCCGGCTTTATTGGCAAGTTTCAAGTGAAGCAAAGGAAAATCTAACATTTCTTTAAAAATTCGATTCTTTTTGCCGACTTTGTAAGTTAAATTAGTGCAGTAACTTTTTGTCAAACTTCATCGACATCTCACAAATTGATATATTGTATTTGGAATATTGAAAAAAGTCAATTTCGTAAAAGTAATTCCCTAAAAATTAATGACTAAGAAAATTCTTGACTTTACTTTTCCAAACAAAGACACTAAGGTCATGCGAGGAGTGGTAGGAACCACTTTTAATTACAAAACAACTGAAATGTATTATTGTTCGTGAAAAATACGTATAAATTTAAATTTTTAAGTTCCAAATTGTTGTTTTGAAATGCAAGCGAATAACTTTAATGTTTACAAAACGCCATTCCTTTTTATAAACTCAACAATCTTCATCCAGTAATCTGATATGTCTTCAAATAAAACCAAATATATATATATATATAATAATAGTAATAGTAACAATCATAATTAATAATAATAATAATAATAATAATAATAATAATAAAATAGCAATGATGTTAACAGAACACTTAAAAATCTGGTTGAAAATGTTGCGACTAAAACAGTTACTAAAATTTTCCAACAATCCTTCCAATTTTTTGCAGTAAACAAATCTGTTCAACGAAACACTGAGTCAGTTAACATAACGACCAACGTTTCTTCATACATATTTCATTGGTAAAAACGATCTCATATAATTTCTAATCACAAAAAAGTTCTCAAATCTCAGTAAATTGTGCACTTGATTGGTTTGTTGTGCGAAAATAATAATAACAGAAGTAATATTAATGATAATAAGAAGAAAAAAATAACAAAGATAGATTATCTAAATTGTCTGACTGATACGCTGTGCAAAAGGTTAAGGTAAATAACAAACAACTAGTAGATTATGAAAACCCTGCAAAAAAACGGCAGCAGACGTATCATTGATTTCACAAACTAATGCACAAAGACTTACTGCTGTCACATACTCTCAGCTAAATAAATTGAAACAGTTGAACCTAAATAAATGAGCTAAATAAACTGCAACCGGTTTTAACAGCTTCACGGTCTAGTCAGCAGTTATCGCACGGGATCAAGAATGGTGACGATCACTTCCGTAACCGCCGTCAGATTGACTGCTACCACTCAACGGGCGACGATGGTCTTTCCTGCAGTGTAAAAAAAATAAGTTGGTATAGCTACTGACGTGATTTTCACTCTAAAATATACGAATACAACAACAAGTAACCGAAAAAAATGACAATCATTTATTTTTTGAGGTTCTATAAGAGTAGCTCTTATTTTTCAGAGCTCCAACTGCTTATATAGCCTGAACTAAGTGCCAAGAAAAGACAAGCGAGAACACATCCAAAAGTCACAATGTGTAGTGTATTAAATAAGTCTTAGTGTAAGTATACATGTACGCGGTGTATACGTGCAGGTGTACTTTTTTCTGTTCTGTGAGCGCTTAGCATTGACTTGAAACTTCCAAAAAATGCTCTAAAATGCTGATTCTTCACTGCACTTTTATTCGGCTGGCAGATGTGACCAGCTACTGACTTTCTTCTCTCTTGTTGCATTAACAACGGTGCAGTGACCGTAATTAATGAATAAACCAGTAGATTTTGTCCATGTAAAAATAAGGGAATAGCGCTAGGGTATAGCAATCGTCGTAATCTGTCTGAACTGAGGAGCTGAACAAAAAAATTTGTTCGGTAATCGAACAGTATACAAATGCGTACTTGGTTATTGTAGATGCTTTTTGTACAGCCTTGATAAACTGATTTTTGACGTCAACTTGGCAGCAACACAGCTGTAAAGTTTCTGAAGTCTGCTGCTGCGTATTCAAGTGGTTTATGGTAAAAAAGTACTTCGATTCACTTATCTCATCAGCACCTTCAGTTATTGTCACTTCAGGAACTGGAAGAATTTTGTGAAACTTCCCCTAAAAAAACAGAAATCAGCTATTTACCGTAACATATATAAGATGTCACTGAATTTTTTTAGGCTTTTCTTTTTCTCTTGTATCTCATTCATTTCAAAATTGAATAATTTTCCTAATGACAGACTAGAGATTTTGATCTTTCCATTGGAAAAGTCAAAAATTTCAAAGCCTTATGTATGTTCGAATTAAGGAAGATGGCTACAGTCATTGTCAGTATAATAAAATAACCTTGTTTTTGGAATGAGTAGGGCACAAAATGAGCACCACTGAGGTGAATACGAAAGCCAAACAAGATGTGACACCTTTTTCACAGCTGTTCAACCAGTCTACGTGAGCGAACATTAAAAGCTGGCTGAATTTCATCTGAGATGCCTGCAAATTCCTATTCATCACTACCGTAACCTTTGCAGACCAAACCAAGCGCTATTCTGCACTGAAAACTGCCCGCTAGCATTAGCACATTTTTTGCCCAGCTAACGTGCAAAAAGGTACCCAGTTTATGCCAGTGGCATTTTTGAAGCGCAAAACGTCTACTTACAGAAGCATTTTTGGCTGCAATTTCCTCAATGTCTTTGCCGTACTGTTCAATGAGCCGTTGCATCTCGTTGATGTAGTCGGCTAAAGCATGCATCCGTTGAAGGGCCTGCTCACCCTGCTGCCGTTCTACGCAACCTTTGGTGCAGTTGTCCTTCATTTGTTGCAGAAACAACGGGTACTTCAGTACACGCTGGATAGGCTTTATCAATAACGACTGCACTCCTTCTCCTTGCTGTTTCGCCGAATTAATCTTTTCCAGTTCCCACACTGTCTTCCA